TGGTGGAGACAGTTCTGTGGTGGAGACAGTTCCGTGGTGGAGACATTCTGTGGTGGAGACTGTTCCGTTTCGGAGACATTCTGTGGTAGAGATACAGCAGCAGCAGAATTATACTCTGGAGATCCTCAGCCTTGGGCATGCTTGTTAGCCTACACTCCATTGTATTTTATATTGACACGTTACATACATAAAACGTAATGTAATTAACTAAATATGAGTAGAGAAACACTAATCACCTACACTAGTATTGCAAATTCTGTGTGTGCAAGTGTATCACGTGTCTAATGAATTGACACAGTTTAATTAGGCTTTGGTGTTTCTGCAGCAGGCTGTCGGCAGTTCTGCAATAAATCGTCATTTGGTGTTATATAGAGATTCACAAAGTTTTTATTTATTGTTGTGCTATGGTGCTGTTCCATTATTCACATTTTTAGAGAAAGCGTAAACAAATGTTAGGTTATCACATATACCTGGGTGTTGAGGGAAACCATATATAAATGTTAGGTTATCACATATACCTGGGTGTTGAGGGAAACCACATATAAATGTTAGGTAATCACATATACCTGGGTGTTGAGGGAAACCACAAACAAATGTTAGGTAATCACATATACCTGGGTGTTGAGGGAAACCATATATAAATGTTAGGTTGTCACATATACCTGGGTGTTGAGGGAAACCACATATAAATGTTAGGTTATCACATATACCTGGGTGTTGAGGGAAACCACATATAAATGTTAGGTAATCACATACACCTGGGTGTTGAGGGAAACCATATATAAATGTTAGGTTGTCATATATACTTGGGTGTTGAGGGAAACCATATATAAATGTTAGGTAATCACATATACCTGGGTGTTGAGGGAAACCACAAACAAATGTTAGGTTGTCACATATACCTGGGTGTTGAGGGAAAACACATATAAATGTTAGGTTATCACATATACCTGGGTGTTGAGGGAAACCACATATAAATGTTAGGTAATCACATACACCTGGGTGTTGAGGGAAACCATATATAAATGTTAGGTTGTCATATATACTTGGGTGTTGAGGGAAACCATATATAAATGTTAGGTAATCACATATACCTGGGTGTTGAGGGAAACCACAAACAAATGTCAGGTAATCACATATACCTGGATGTTGAGGGAAACCATATATAAATGTTAGGTTGTCACATATGGCCTTGTGTTGTAGGAACTATATGTAAGGTGTTAACGTTTGCATATGAACAACTTTTAAGGGAAACTATATTTAAATGTTTGGTAATCACATATGACCGAGTGTTGAGGGAAACTGTATTGTAATGTTTGGTAATCACATATGGCCTTGTGTTAAGGGAAACTATATTTAAATGTTTGGTAATCAAATATGACTGGATGTTGAGGGAAACTATATTTAAATGTTTGTTAATGATATATGGTTGGATGTTGAGGGAAAATATATTTAAATATTTGTTAATGATATATGGTTGGATGTTGAGGGAAAATATATATATATATAATTGTTTGCTTATCACATATGACTGGATGTTGAGGGAAATGATAAGAAAGGTTATGTGTAATAAAAGCCTCCAAGTGCTTCAGATAAAGTCAAGAAGTTATGTTCTACATTGATTACAGCCAAAATACTGGAATATGCAGGAATTGTGGCACTCTTTAGAGGCCACAAGCTGCATAGCAACATCTTTATTGATCTGGTAAGATCAGAATCATGGCAGACACAAAACTTCGGGCTGATGTGTTTCAACACTTATTTCCAAACATGACCTGGACATTTAATTGAATTTGGATGCACTAGCTGGTATTTCAGACATCAGTTCATTCAGGATTGGCACCAATAAATTTAATAGGTTTGTCTGGTTAGTTAGTAGAAATGTTTCTCGGTAAATTTCCAGGCTTTTTTGTCACCAAGGAAATATTTTATATACAGTGTTGATCTGGACACATGTATGAATAATAGAGTGCTATATACAGTCCAGGCCAGGCTTCAGTAGGCATACAGTATATACAGTCCAGGCCAGGCTCCAGCAGATTTACTGTCTATATACAGTCCAGGCCAGGCTTCAGTAGGCATACAGTATATACAGTCCAGGCCAGGCTCCAGCAGATATACTGTCTATATACAGTCCAGGCCAGGCTTCAGTAGGCATACAGTATATACAATCCAGGCCAGGCTTCAGTAGACATACAGTATATACAGTCCAGGCCAGGCTCCAGCAGATATACTGTCTATACAGTCCAGGCCAGGCTTCAGTAGGCATACAGTCTATACAGTCCAGGCCAGGCTCCAGCAGATACACAGTCTATATACAATCCAGGCTTCAGTAGACATACAGTATATACAGTCCAGGCCAGGCTTCAGTAGACATACAGTATATACAGTCCAGGCCAGGCTTCAGTAGACATACAGTATATACAATCCAGGCCAGGCTTTAGTAGACATACAGTATATACAGTCCAGGCCAGGCTTCTGTAGACATACAGTATATACAATCCAGGCCAGGCTTTAGCAGATATACTGTCTATACAGTCCAGGCCAAGCTCCAGCAGATATACTGTCTACATACAGTCCAGGCCAGGCTTCAGTAGGCATACAGTCTATATACAGTCCAGGCTTCAGTAGGCATACAGTATATACAATCCAGGCCAGGCTCCAGCAGATATACTGTCTATATACAGTCCAGGCCAGGCTTCAGTAGACATACAGTATATACAGTAGACATACAGTATATACAGTCAAGGCCAGGCTTCAGTAGACATACAGTATATACAGTCCAGGCCAGGCTCCAGCAGATATACTGTCTATACAGTCCAGGCCAGGCTTCAGTAGGCATACAGTCTATATACAATCCAGGCTTCAGTAGACATACAGTATATACAATCCAGGCCAGGCTTCAGTAGACATACAGTATATACAATCCAGGCCAGGCTTCAGTAGACATACAGTATATACAATCCAGGCTAGGCTTCAGTAGACATACAGTATATACAGTCCAGGCCAGGCTTCAGTAGACATACAGTATATACAGTCCAGGCCAGGCTTCAGTGGGCATACAGTATATACAATCCAGGCCAGGCTCCAGCAGATATACTGTCTATATACAGTCCAGGCCAGGCTTCAGTAGGCATACAGTATATACAATCCAGGCCAGACTCCAGCAGATATACGGTCTATATACAGTCCAGGCCAAGCTCCAGCAGATATACTGTCTATATACAGTCCAGGCCAGGCTTCAGTAGGCATACAGTCTATATACAGTCCAGGCTTCAGTAGGCATACAGTATATACAATCCAGGCCAGGCTCCAGCAGATATACTGTCTATATACAGTCCAGGCCAGGCTTCAGTAGGCATACAGTATATACAATCCAGGCCAGGCTCCAGCAGATACACAGTCTATATACAGTCCGGGCCAGGCTTCAGTAGGCATTCAGTATATACAGTCCAGGCCAGGCTTCAGTAGATGTACAGTATATACAGTCCAGGCCAGGCTCCAGCAGATATACTGTCTATATACAGTCAAGGCCAGGCTTCAGTAGGCATACAGTGTATATAGGCCAGGTAAGGCTCCAGCAGATATACTGTCTATATACTGTCCAGGCCAGGCTCCAGCAGATATACTGTCTATATACAGTCCAGGCCAGGCTCCAGTAGGCATACAGTATATACAGTCCAGGCCAGGCTCCAGCAGATACACAGTCTATATACAATCCAGGTTAGGCTTCAGTAGGCATACAGTGTATACAGTCCAGGTAAGGCTCCAGCAGATATACTGTCTATATACAGTCCAGGCCAGGCTTCAGCAGATATACTGTCTATACAGTCAAGGCCAGGCTTCAGTAGGCATACAGTGTATACAGTCCAGGCCAGGCTCCAGCAGATATACTGTCTACATACAGTCCAGGCCAGGCTCCAGTAGGCATACAGTATATACAGTCCAGGCTTCAGTAGGCATACAGTATATACAGTCCAGGCCAGGCTCCAGCAGATATACTGTCTATATACAGTCCAGGCCAGGCTTCAGTAGGCATACAGTATATACAGTCCAGGCCAGGCTTCAGTAGGCATACAGTATATACAGTCCAGGCTAGGCCCTTGCAGATATACTGTCTGTATACATTACAGGTCAGGCTCCAAGAGACAAACTGTGTCTTTTAACAATCCAGTCCAGTCCAGGCCAGGCCAGTCCAAACTCTTGTAGATATACTGTCTATAGACAATGTCTGGCTCCAATAGATGCACTGTCTGTATACAGTCAAGGCCAGGCTTCAGTAGGCATACTGTGTCTACATGCTAAGAATGCCATGCTCTTGTAGATGTACTGTCTATTCCTAGTCCTGACTTGGCTGGTTTGAGATCCAAGACATAGTATATAAAATGTTTAGATTAATTTTGGTCAACAACTAGTGATTTAAAAACCTAAGGTGAGGCCTATTTACACTGTAGAACCTAGCATGCTCTTTGTGATCAGGAATCTATTTCATTTCACCTGGAATCAAAGAGAGGCTTTAAACTTTATAGATCTGTGTGCAATGAATGTTTGAAAAGGTGTGAAAAGTTGAAGAAGCTTTTGATGAATGTTAGTCAGTCAACTATCTGGAAGACCATGTAAGATTTCAAGGTCACTTGTAAAAAGAAATGGGTCATAGAGGCAACATTTGCTGTCAGTTGACTCACTAAGTGTATAATATTTTCACAAAGAATATCATGCCATTAACAAAGCATACCTATGAAGCTCCCAAGACAGAATATACCACATGATGCAGAAGAAAGTTTACTCAGAGTTAATACAGAGTTTTAATATAGAAATTGGTATAAGTTTATCAGTGCACTCTCAGCATTAGACCTTTAACCTCCATCAAGGTCACATAATTTTGTAGATTGTAGACACTGACTGATCAGAATTCAAGAGATATAATCTTGTTTTTACTCCAAATTCACAAAAATTTAGAAAATATGAAAGAATTAATGACCATATTGTTTTATTTTCAGGATTCCGTTGTTGGGATGAAGATCAGACTGGCATTGACATCAATGATGAGTTGGCGAGGATTGCAAACAGGGCCTCAATGGGAGAGGAGGGACCCAATGGTAAATAATCTGTTTCTTGATAATCATGATCAATGGAATGCTTGTCATTATCACAGTTTCTCAAGTGCTTTTATGCCTGGTGATATTCCTTGTTAACCTTTTACCCATATAATACCGTATAAAAATGTCTTGTTTAAGTAGAACAAGCGCATTGGATGTTAGTGAGGAGTAAAGCAGCATTTATAAGCCTCTTAACAATAGCTTTGATAAAATTAATTCTATTTCTGTCATAATTCTGCCTTGATGGTTTACTGCTGAAAAATACAATCACAATACAGAAATGAAACCTGTATGAATACTCATATTTATAAACAACATTTTGTCTACATTTTAAACAATGTTACTATCATTATTATCAGGCGTTACCTTCCATAATCGTAAAATCATAAAATTCTGTTCAGAGATAGTGAAATAAGTTCATAATGAGGTTGAGAGTACAACAAAAAAGGGAGCCCTGGTTGTATTTGATTTTACAGAACAAAAAGTGATAACTCCTATTCTTAATGGTGCATTAATTTTACATTTATAATAATTGGAGATCACTTGTAATATATTGTCCAAAATATGCCAGGAGTATGTGACTGTTACCAAGTATACTCATATTTAGGATTTCCAGTGCATGTAGTTTTGCTTATAGGTCATAGGTTGATGCATGTTGCTGTCACCGTAGTTGTGACACTTAGTAACCTAAATTGACATTAAACATGATATTGCCATGATGTACCTAGAGAATTTCCACCAGGTTTGTCTTTATTACCATGTACAGAAATCAGGGATCACATTTACAGCGTCCATTAAAACAATGATGACTTCCATTTCCTTTGGCATTTTGGTTGTTGTCTAGTTCAGTTTTGAAAATGTTATGCAATATTAAACAGGCCAGTTAAAGAAATATTACATAGGAACAAAGTAAGGTTTTATTTATGTATAACATCTGTCATATCACATATAACAGTCAGATATTACTGGTTTTGGTGCAGAGACATTCACTGTCATACAGACAGTTCTCACCTGTTGTGATGTAGAGACATTCACTGTCATACAGACAGTTCTCACCTGTTGTGATGTAGGGACTGTCACTGTCATACAGACAGTTCTCACCTGTTGTGATGTAGACTGTCACTAACATATTACAGACAGTTCTCACCTGTTGTGATGTAGAGAATGTCACTAACATATTACAGACAGTTCTCACCTGTTGTGATGTAGGGACTGTCACTAACATATTACAGACAGTTCTCACCTGTTGTGATGTAGACTGTCACTAACATATTACAGACAGTTCTCACCTGTTGTGATGTAGGGACTGTCACTAACATATTACAGACAGTTCTCACCTGTTGTGATGTAGACTGTCACTAACATATTACAGACAGTTCTCACCTGTTGTGATGTAGACTGTCACAAACATATTACAGACAGTTCTCACCTGTTGTGATGTAGACTGTCACTAACATATTACAGACAGTTCTCACCTGTTGTGATGTAGACTGTCACTAACATATTACAGACAGTTCTCACCTGTTGTGATGTAGACTGTCACTAACATATTACAGACAGTTCTCACCTGTTGTGATGTAGACTGTCACTAACATATTACAGACAGTTCTCACCTGTTGTAATGTAGACTGTCACTAACATATTACAGACAGTTCTCACCTGTTGTGATGTAGACTGTCACTAACATATTACAGACAGTTCTCACCTGTTGTGATGTAGACTGTCACTAACATATTACAGACATTTCTCACCTGTTGTGATGTAGACTGTCACTAACATATTACAGACATTTCTCACCTGTTGTGATGCAGAGACTGTCACTAACATATTACAGACAGTTCTCACCTGTTGTGATGTAGACTGTCACTAACATATTACAGACAGTTCTCACCTGTTGTGATGTAGACTGTCACTAACATATTACAGACAGTTCTCACCTGTTGTGATGTAGACTGTCACTAACATATTACAGACAGTTCTCACCTGTTGTGATGTAGACTGTCACTAACATATTACAGACAGTTCTCACCTGTTATGATGTAGACTGTCACTAACATATTACAGACAGTTCTCACCTGTTGTGATGCAGAGACTGTCACTAACATATTACAGACAGTTCTCACCTGTTGTGATGTAGACTGTCACTAACATATTACAGACAGTTCTCACCTGTTGTGATGTAGACTGTCACTAACATATTACAGACAGTTCTCACCTGTTGTGATGTAGACTGTCACTAACATATTACAGACAGTTCTCACCTGTTGTGATGTAGACTGTCACTAACATATTACAGACAGTTCTCACCTGTTGTGATGCAGAGACTGTCACTAACATATTACAGACAGTTCTCACCTGTTGTGATGTAGGGATTTTCACTATCATTTATATCACCTGTTGTGGTAGTAACAGACTCTGTCATTTATATATTTTCATTAGTATTTCCAATGAATATTTTTATTAGTAGCAGCTTGACATCAAATATAGCAAGGTGGTGTTGGACCATTTAACTATTTGTATATTTTCCATATTTCACAAAGGCCTGCCTCTTCCCCAGCATTTACATGTTTGGTGATACAATTTTTTTAAATAAATAATTTTATCAAACAATTTAAGTTTTTTTTTTTTTAGAGTTTGACATAAATTGGATTGACTGTTTTTAAGTGTGTATGAGATAAACTACAGACAGATGAAAATCTTTAAAAATCATTGGATTACCTTGGTTGTTGAGATTGTCATGTATAGATCTACCTCTTACACTTATATATACACACTATACCACTATTGTGTGTAAAAATAATCGCCTGCCCGAAGTCGTCTTATCAGACATCTGTGATGTCTTAAGTAAGAGATTATGTTAAAATAACCTTGAAAATTACAGGTAACCTTAGAATAGTATAGAAATCCAATATTAGGGATGATGACCTTCAAATTCTTTATATATCAGATTAGTATGCAACATTTTGTGTCTTCTTTAAAGATAAAGATCTCTGGGCTCTTCATAGTGAATCAAGAGATGTTATCACCTCAGTATATGAGAACTTTTCATTCATAACTGTTTTAAAGAATGTGATTTGGTAAACATGGGTAGTAATTTATGTAAAAAGTGGAAAATCTAGTCATTGTGTATATTGTATGTTATTAGCATGTCATTATTAGTCCCTTATTGTTAGTTCTGTAGGGAAATTACAACACCCTGGCCCTGTAGGGAAATTACACCACCCTGGCCCTGTAGGGAAATTACAACACTCTGGCCCTGTAGGGAAATTACAACACCCTGACCCTGTAACAACAAAGTTCCCTTATTGTCAGTTCTGTAGGGAAATTACACCACCCTGGCCCTGTAGAGAAATTACAACACCCTGGCCCTGTAGAGAAATTACAACACCCTGGCCCAGTAGGGAAATTACATCACCCTGGCCCTGTAGGGAAATTACAACACCCTAGCCCTGTAGGGTAATTACAACACCCTGGCCCTGTAGGGAAATTACAACACCCTGACCCTGTAACAACAAAGGTCCCTAATTGTCAGTTCTGTAGGGAAATTACAACACCCTGGCCCTGTAGGGAAATTACAACACCCTGACCCTGTAACAACAAAGGTCCCTAATTGTCAGTTCTGTAGGGAAATTACACCACCCTGGCCCTGTAGGGAAATTACAACACCCTGGCCCTGTAACAACAAAGGTCCCTAATTGTCAGTTCTGTAGGGAAATTACACCACCCTGGCCCTGTAGAGAAATTACACCACCCTGGCCCTGTAGAGAAATTACAACACCCTGGCCCTGTAGGGAAATTACACCACCCTGGCCCTGTAGAGAAATTACACCACCCTGGCCCTGTAGAGAAATTACAACACCCTGACCCTGTAGAGAAATTACAACACCCTGGCCCTGTAGGGAAATTACACCACCCTGGCCCTGTAGAGAAATTACACCACCCTGGCCCTGTAGAGAAATTACAACACCCTGACCCTGTAGAGAAATTACAACACCCTAGCCCTGTAGAGAAATTACAACACCCTAGCCCTGTAGGGTAATTACAACACCCTGGCCCTGTAGGGAAATTACAACACCCTAGCCCTGTAGGGAAATTACAACACCCTGGCCCTGTAACAACAAAGTTCCCTTATTGTCAGTTCTGTAGGGAAATTACAACACCCTGGCCCTGTAGAGAAATTACACCACCCTGGCCCTGTAGGGTAATTGCAACACCCTGGCCCTGTAGGGAAATTACAACACCCTGGCCCTGTAGGGAAATTACAACACCCTGGCCCTGTAGGGAAATTACATCACCCTGGCCCTGTAGGGAAATTACAACACCCTGGCCCTGTAGAGAAATTACAACACCCTAGCCCTGTAGGGTAATTACAACACCCTGGCCCTGTAGGGTAATTACAACACCCTGACCCTGTAGAGAAATTACAACACTCTGGCCCTGTAGGCAAATTACAACACCCTGACCCTGTAGAGAAATTACAACACCCTGGCCCTGTAGGGTAATTACAACACCCTGGCCCTGTAACAACAAAGTTCCCTAATTGTCAGTTCTGTAGAGAAATTACAACACCCTGGCCCTGTAGAGAAATTACAACACCCTGGCCCTGTAGAGAAATTACAACACCCTGGCCCTGTAGGGAAATTACACCACCCTGGCCCTGTAGAGAAATTACAACACCCTGGCCCTGTAGGCAAATTACAACACCCTGACCCTGTAGAGAAATTACAACACCCTGACCCTGTAGAGAAATTACAACACCCTGACCCTGTAGAGAAATTACAACACCCTGACCCTGTAGAGAAATTACAACACCCTGACCCTGTAGAGAAATTACAACACTCTGGCCCTGTAGGCAAATTACAACACCCTAGCCCTGTAGAGAAATTAGAACACCTTGGCCCTGTAGGCAAATTACAACACCCTGGCCCTGTGACAACAAAGTTCCCTAATTGTCAGTTCTGTAGGGAAATTACAACACCCTAGCCCTGTAGGGAAATTAC